TTGCATATTAGAATTGATGAGAATATCCATTACATGTTAATATGTGTGTGCTTTTTATGGTCTTCACTCATTTCAGAGTGTGTGTTTTTTTATTAATATGTCTCATTCTGTACACACTCTTGGATTAGTAAATATTGGAGTCTTCTGCCTTAGTGATCTTTTTTCTCTATGGACTTCTGGCATTGTATCTTTTGCTTTTCTAGAGAAATTGACCTATACTAGCATATCATGAGTGATGTTGAGTCTCTTAACCACCTTTCATCTTTTTGCATCTCCACGACTTTTCCCTCAATTCTTTGCAATTAAGGCATGAGGAAAAGGCTACCTCAGAGTCACCAACCAGGCTATCCTTATTGTATCCATGCTTCTCTGGTTCGGCTTCCAATACTCTTGAGCATGTCAGCCGCCAATGAGTGTGCAAAAGAAAGAATAAAATGTGCAAAAGAAAGAAAAAGAAAGAAAATATGCAAAAGAAAAAAAGAAAAAAGGAAAAAGAAAAAGATTCCTTGATTGAGGGGGAACTTTTACTCACCAAACACCCCTTGATTCCTAGTGGTTTGACTTTCCTTAGTTGTGCTTAGATTCTCTTACCGGAGGTTCAGCTTTCAGATCACTACTAGGATTGAATCTAGTGTTTGTCGAACTCCAAGAGGCACACACACACTTTTATCATGGGATCTATACTTTTCACATAATGTATCACTTTCTATTATGAGGAATCTTCTAGAGGCTGTGCAGATTATGCTTTCAAGTAATTGTGCTTCTTAGATAATCTTGTGTGTTTTAAGGTACAAATCTGAAATTCCTTACTTGCTCCGCCATATTATTTTTGTCGTTTTCTTCTTGTTCATTGTTTTAAGTGTTTGTGGTTGTTTTTAGTAAGGAGAGTTTGGTTTATCATTGCAAAAGTTTGTTAGCATGAACACTTTGATTTGTTTGGTAAGAGAGATTGGCTTTAGTTGTTTTGCATGTTGCTATGCACTGCTTCTTTATTGTTTCCTTCTTGCATGCTACTGCTAATTACATCATCATATCCTTGCTTGTGTGATTTATGCTTTTACTATAATTGATTGAGCTTTCTTGGACAATTCATGACAAAAAGGGTCTTAAGATTTTTATCTATTCATGCTAAATGTTCTTAAAGTCTTAGGATTTTCATCTATTCATGCTACATGTTCTTAAAATCTCCAATTTACATCTATTCATATTTCCATCTCATGCTTCAAGATAATCTTGTCATATGTCTATTGCTTTTTCATATACTCTTGTGGCACTAATAGTTGTTTTGGAGATTATGGCACTAATAGCTGTTTTGAAAATCATGACGTTGAGAAAAAAGTTTGTTTTTGTTAGCTATAATGGGTTGGGGTAATTAGGATTTTATTTGTTAGGTATGTTTTGTCACGGCATTGCTAAAGGGGGAGATTGTTAGGTTTTTATTTTTGGCAATCCCGTTTGACAAAGCTCCTTTCAGTTGTAATTGTGTTCGATCTTTTATTTCAGTGAGGCTATGAGTTTTAGATGCGAATCCAACCCGAATTGTGCCTTGCAGAGATGTTTCAGAAGTTAATTCTTTCTTGTTTGCCACTTCACTGACTATGTCGGGGATCGAGCTGCCCGGTTAGCTCGCAGGGGTCCAGGGGTAGCTCCCCTTGGTGGGTCTAGGGCAGTGCCCAGGCGGGGTTGAGGGACAGCGCCCCCGAAGCAAAAAGCAAAAATGCCGTAAAAGTTGCTTCCCTGCTCGAGCGGCCATTTGTGCGCTCGAGCGAAGAATTTTTGGTTCTAGAAGTTTGAACTATCTGCAAAAATACTGAAAATTGTGTTTTTGCACTCGAGCAGCACTTCCTGCGCTCGAGCGTTAGTCTGCTCAAGCGGCCATTCTTGCACTCGAGCAAAGATCGCGGAACAGTTTGCTATAAAAGGTACGGTTCAGTCAGATTTTAGGATACAACTTCCAGATCTTGTTCTTGGGTATTAGGGTTTTCTTCTGGTGCTTCTTTGCTAGTTTCTTTGATGTTTATTTGAGTTTAACTCATGGTTTGAAAAGTATACATCAAAGGATTGTTTTATTTATTCAATATAAAAGAGAGTTGTTCTTCGGTAGATTCCCTGAAATTTGGGCCTGAAGCTTAGGTGGATTCCGGAGTGGCTCATTGTCGTTATTCGACATTGGCGTTGTGAATTCAACGTTGGGCAAGATAATTCCGAGGTGAAGATAGGGCTGGAAAAGGCACATAGGGGTCGGTTCGATTTAGGCTTGGATTCGCTAGGTAATTGAGAGTACACTTGTGTAATTCCTTTATGTCTTCTTAGTGGATTGTTTTGTGGTTTTGCCCGTGGTTTTTTCTCACAATTGGAAGCGCTCCAATTGTGGTTTTCACATTAAATCGTTGTGTTGATTTATCTTTGATTGTTTGATTGGGATTGCTATTTACTCGTTAAAATTGATACATAATCACAAATCAATATCTGGGGTATTTCTAGATTTTTCAAATATAACCTATAATTTGCGATAATCATTCAAACCAACAAAATCAACTCAATCATGAACATCCAAAATACATAAATCATCCAATCCTTGACTTGTTTAATTAAAGTCATCAACTATTGTAAGTTTTCATCCACAAGTAATTCCAAACTACTTAATTGTCCAATTACAAATGTCATGTAATCTATATAATCATCCAATTCACATCCATCTACTATGTTTTAAATTTTTATCCATGCGCATCTATCAAAAAATATAACTAGTAGTTTATCCAAATATTTTCCATACACATTTATTCAAAAATATATAATCCTTCAAAAAATGTAACAAGTGCCAACTAATCCTGTACAATTCAGCTTCATGCACGAGTTCATCCATCTATACAAAAGAAAAAGAAAAATAATGTCAGGTAATTCTTTTTATCAAAGTTATAAGCACATCAAATGAATGTAAAATTGGACAAAAAATGAAAAAGGTCCATGGAAAGTAAAGCTATACCATTTTGTAAATAAAACAACAGCATTCATATGTATATATCCAATCAACATTACAATTCTATCAATATCAATGCGCCACACTTAGAAAAATTCCAATGGTAATAGATGTATGATCCGCAGATTAATGGTATAAAAAAAAGGAAATAAGTTCCACATTGATCCAGTATTCACAAGCTTCCAAAAAGCTTTATCTATACACTTGCTACAACCAACAAAAGATTCTCCATATTTAAAAGAAAACTTCCCATAGTGGATATAATAATTCTAACAATTCAAACATCATCTCCATCACAAAGCTTATCCAATAAATATACACAATTTAAAAAGTCCATCTAATTACCCAAAGGTTTACAAGGCAGAGGCTTCATAGTCATTGTTTGTGCGAAACATTCACTAAAACAGGATCTCATAATAGATACATATATTTAAAGTGTATATTTATATGCATAGTGATCTTTGATCTTTGCTCAGTACGTGAGTCCAAAGACATGGAGATCTCCAATAAAACACATGGCTATGTCTAATTACACAAAGCCTAGTCAAGAGAAAGGCTCTATAGCCGCGCACAGGTAGGAGAATGCATTTAGTTTCTCAATCAATGCTTGCATTTGGGTTTTATACCTCATTTTGTAATAACTGAACAACATAAGTAAATATTTGACCTAGCAAGTTAGCTATTATGACCTGCGTGTCACAGGACTAGTGATGTTTAAATACAATATATATATATATATATATATAATAGATGTATAAGAGGTACTCTGAAGCTTGAAATGCCATTAAAACAATGAGGTAACTCCAAGCGGATGATATAACCCAGAGTAGTTGCAACTATCATTCACACCTATGGACAAGCACAAATCGCTTGAAAATTCCCAAAGCCCAATCCTAATTGATGGAGGCATCAAGTCATATCCAAGTGAGAGCAACTTTAGTGGGTGTCAGTCTTGGTAACTGACCTAGTAGGCTTCCACCTCAAAATTGGCAATATTCAGACAACCATCTATAGTGAAGGTAAGCATTTATGACACGCCACTTGTTCTCACAAGTTTGTTTAATCTAGGTTGAGGTGACCGTGATGATCTCAAGGCTGTTTGGGGATTGTTTCCAATTTTTGCCCCCAAACATTTCTTTTTTGCCTTTTTCTCTCACTTTTTTTTTTTTTTTTTTGGGTCTAAATCTCTAATTTTGCGTTCTATCGATGCACCGTTTGCTCTCACAAGTTTGTTTAAAAGAAAGTAAAAAAGATAGCTTACAACACAACTGTGTTCATATTAGCAGTGCTGAAAACGTTAGCACAAGAACACAGCAAAATCCAAAACTTGCATTTAGTTTGTGGAAACTAATTACGAAACTAAATCTCTTACCTTGTGTCCTTTCGACACAACGCTTGCTCTCACAAGTTTGTTTAATCTAGGCCGAGGTGATCGTTATGATCTCGGGCTGTTTGGGGGCTATTTCCAATTTTTGCCCTCAAACGGCCCATTTTTGCCTTTTTCATGGACATTTTTTTGTCTAAATTTCTAACCGTGTGTCCTATCGATTAGCCGCTTGCTCTCACAAATTTGTTTAATCTATGCCAAGGAAATATGTTATGATCTCAGGGCTGTTTGGGGGCTATTTCCAATTTTCGCCCCTTAACGGCCCGTGTTTGCCTTTTTTCCTCACATTTTTTTCTCAAATATTCTCCAAACACGTTTGTTTGCCTTTACTTGGAACATAAATATCATGAAATCTGGTTTAACACACTTACCCAATACCATGACTAGCTATGTAGGATGGTCACACATATGTACACTTACAAAGCAATTAGTTCAAACAACAAAGCAATTTGCAAATTTATTATTAAATTTTTTTTGATTCCAGTAGTACCAAAGTGTTCTTTGTTTCCTCAGCACAACCACACATTAAAGGGTGAAACTTAAGCATTCAATTACAGAGAAACTAGGAAACTTGATAAAACATAGCCAAATATTGATAAAACCATGACACACAGATAGCCTCAGCACTGAAACAAGAAGCTACATGGTTTCCCAATCTTGCATGTGGCTTAAAGTGGTCAATGTTTACTTCAAACCAAGTGTTGTTAATAAAGACCGTAATAAGAAATTTTTTTCGGCAGGGATAGCTTAACAAGAAAGGTGACTTAAAACCAGAAATTTAAAACAGTATATAAAATTAATATGTGACAATTCTATGATCAAAACCTATACAGCTTAAGAAACATCCTCAATTCACTAATATTACCAAAGTGATAGATTAAAACTGTCATTCCAATCATCATAACAACAATTAACCAACTATAATTGAGATTGCTCTCTTCAATTTGGATTTCCTACTACAAACAAGCTAGAAATAAACCTAGTAAGTACCACGTAGTTGGAGATATACTAGACATACCCATCATACTATGTTTTTCATGAGACTCATTTCTAGCAAACAGTATGTAATGTTTTTAGTTGTTTTGTATCAAGCTGTTTTAGCATGAACTGTTAGGGACAGTATAAACCATATCAATTTAAATCCACCAAACAAATTAAACAGACAAAAGACTCCACATGTTCATATATTCCAAAGTCTCTATTTCAATAGTCAACCACATGAAGTAATTCGTATATTCAGTCATTGCTAACATGCATCCAATACCTTGTCTTTACATACAACCAAACTGGAAAGTGCAATATTTGATGCAGTCATTGCTAACATGCATCCAATACCTTGTCTTTACATACAACCAAACTGGAAAGTGTTAATTACTGAGGCAAAATGACCGGATGGGGTTTGGCATCTCTTGATGAAACAACACAATTCATATGAAGGTAGATGTAGTAAATTTATTGTATTGCAACCACATAATGTCCAAAGATATACCAGGTCATCACCTACCACCTAAATGCATGCATATCCATGTTATTCTTTGTATCGTCCTTGTCTTATAAGAAGTTCAGTAAATTATGATAAAAGGAAGTACTATGTTTTCTCTCGCCAAAAACTACTTCACTGATTAAGCTTATGTCACAATAGTATGCACTGCAATTCCAGCTCATCAAATCTGTTAGGAGGTGGTTATAACTAACTAAAACAGAGCATGTGTGTATTGTATCTTGAGAGGATGTAAATTACAATATATAGGAGATGTATTACTCTATTTTGTACATTCTTGAATAATAAAAATACAAAGTATTGATTCATGACTTTCTTCAAAATGATTATGTTGCAGTACTTCTAGACACAGGAGACTTAGTCTTGAAAAAGGGTATCTCCTGGGAGATCTTGTGGGAGAGCTTTAACCATCCTTGCAACACTTTCCTACCCGGCAATGAACACTAGAACTGGAGAAAAACAGTTATTGTCTTCTTGGCAAATGGAAGATGACCCAGGAAAGTTTGTTGTTGGAATTGCACCACTCCTGCAAGCTTTTGTTTGTAAAGTTCCAATTCCATTTTGGAGAAGTGGGAGAAGTGGGCCATGGGATGGATTGAAGTTTATCGGTGTACCTGATATGAAATCAACGTAATTGGAAAGTGGTTTTGGTGTTGCAATGGATCACAGGAAATCAGTATGTCACTTTCAATTTATTAGACAACTTCTCTGTTAGGATTATGACAACTACATCAACTGGATATCTAAGTTAATTGATTGGGATGAAGCTTTAAAGCAATGGAAAGTTTTCTGGGAGACACAAAAGAGTTCATGTGATAGTTATGGACATGTGGACCTTTTGGGGTTTGTAGTAAAAGTGGGTCTCAAATTTGTCAGTGCCTAAAAGGATTTGTACCAAAATCAAATGAGGAATAGAGCAAAGGATATTGGTCAAATGGGTGTGTGAGGAAACTTGAATTGCCTTGTAACAACTCGAGTAACTCATCCTTAGGGAGTAGAAAAGATGACGGGTTTTGGAAGTTGAGTGCGATCAAATTGCCAGATCAAATAGAGCAAAGGATATTGGTCAAATGGGTGTGTGAGGAAACTTGAATTGCTTTGTAACAACAACTTGAGTAACTCATCCTTAGGGAGTGGAAAAGATGACGGGTTTTGGGAGTTGAGTGCGATCAAATTGCCAGATCTTTTTATTTTTGTGAACCTTAAGAGTTCTGAGGGATATGAACTTCACTGCCTAAATAACTGTCCATATTTGGGCAGAATTAGATGTATGATCTGGACAGGAGATCTTTTGGATATTCAAGAGTTTTTATCTATGAAGCACGGATACTTCAAATAGGGAGACGTATCCATATCATATCCGTATCGGATACCGATACTCCTTAGATACTTACGGATACGTATCAGATACTTATTAAAAGTATCGGATACTTCTTAATTAATTTTTCATTAATTTTGAAGTATCGGATACTTAGTTTTGAAGTATCAGATGCTTCAAGTCACATATTATCGGATACTTCTTAATTAATTTTGAAGTATCAAATGCTCCAAGTCACGTATTACTCCTTTTACGAAATTAAAATTGTATCATTTCTTGCATAACATCATAATATAATATAATATAATATAATTACAAGGATAAATAGAATATTTTTACAATACTTTGCTTAGTTTTTTTATAAAAATAACATAGTAAGCTAAAGTAATAGAACTCATCAAATTGACATATCTTCATTGTATAACAATGGTAAAATTAAATATCAATAAATAAATAAGCAAATAAACTTGCATAGATTATTTTTGACTAGTGCAAAAGGAAAAAGCATAGGATCAAGTTGTGGATTGTTTTGATATTATAATATCAACATATTAGACTTGATATTGAAATGAAATATTTGCAAGACCTATTGAAAATTTAAAAACTAAACTAGCTACTGACTTAAATTAATATCTAATTCTTAAAGATTAGTATTTTGCATTATAAAGTTAATGTGGCTTTTCAACATTCTTGAGCTTATGTATAATTCATTGCTAATAATTTATTTATTTTTTATTTTTTACAAACGTATTCTAGCCGTACCCGTATCCTACTTTTTTAGGTTTTGTCGTATCACCGTATTCGTATTGTATCGTATCCGTATCTCGTATCAGTATCCGTGCTTTCTAGGCTTTTATTTGGTGGGGAGGATCTTTTTCTCCGCCTTGCTAATAGGGAGCTAGGCAGGGGTGGAACTGTGTAGGGGCCGGAAAGGGCCCTGTCCCCTCCGATTTTTGACAATTTATCTATATTTATGAGTATTTATAAAATGTACAACAGGATGATTTTTTAATTTTATAAGAATTATTCTACTAACTTTTTGTTTCATTAGTATTTTGTAATGTCTAATGAAATGATGTCTAATTATTTCACATTTTAAATAATAAAACATCAATTTTATTGAGTCAGTTTTATTAGAACAAAGAGTTACATGTTACTTATGTTTTGAATTTTAAAAGCCAAATGGTATGTATACTTTTTTATGAGTAATGCTAGAAAGACTAAAATTTCATGCTTAAATTTATTCATAAAGACATGGCAGCGGTTAAGTCTTAGTTGATTGATTTCTAAGCAAATAAACTAACATATAATATTCAACACCATTGAGTGTCAATTTAAGCTTGTTTCAGAGATCTTAAGCATTTTTCACTTTTTATTTACTGGATTATATCAATCAATAAATTGCTTAATAGTTCAAAATTGAAAAAACTGTTTACTAGATTTAGTTTTCTTGCGAAATACTTCTTTCGCAGGGCTGACATAAAAAATTATATTAAATTAATAATGTATCAAAACTAATTCAATACTTTTTATGCATACACATTGGCCTCTTCCAAATAAAATTTCTGGTTCCACCCTTGGAGCTAGGTGACTACAATTTCCCTTCAAGCTTTCAATGGAGTATTGTTTTCCTCTTCCATTCTCTTTCTACTTAGTTGAATATTTTTAATTTTTTTATTTATTCAGGTAAAGGGAAGAAGCAAAGAGCAGGATTCATTATGTCGGCTTCACAGTTGCTTCTGGTATGGTCTTCTTAGGTCCCATTATATGTGGTTTGTGTTGGCAAAAAGCTAAGCAAAGAGAGAAAAAAAACTGTCCTCTATACTTCAAAATGTTAAACAGAGGAAAGAAAAGAAATCATGATATGGACAAAAACAAAATAATATCCTAACTCTAATCCAAAAGATGCATGAATAATGTAAGAATTAATTCTAGTATAGTTCATGTAGAAATCTAGTGATCTGAAAACTAGTCCTCAGTTCATCCATAAAAAAAAATTATTTCAGATGGTTCAACTGTCTGACCCAACCCAGGTTCCAAAATACTAAATTGAATTGCTTCAATTGTCTGACCTAATCCAGGTTCCAAAATAGTATATCGACTTACTAAATCAACTTTCCATCCTGTGCTATGTCTGTGCATGTAGTGACTAAGAACTCAACAAAACAGTGGAATTGGAGGTGAGCTTGACTGTTCTTTTTTGTACTAAAACAAATCCCACCTATATATGAAACCACCTAAACAATGAAAATTGCTAAACCTTACTGTAGCGGACAGAAACTAGTTGGTTTTTCTTATATAGATACATATATATAGAGTATTTTCAAACTTTTTTAATAAAAAATCTTTTCAAAACTAACCAGACCTTCATTCATATTTTGACTTCAAATTTTTAGCAACAAATAGGATAAATTACCTTTTAACCCAATAATTTTATATTTAATTACATTTTGATCTCATCATTATTTGCACCGTGCCTTTGGGCACGGGCATACACTAGTATATATATATATAGAGAGAGAGAGAGAGATATGTATGCATATGTATACACACGTACCTTTTTTCTTTTTTTCTTTTTTTTTGTGTGCATGCATATGTTTTGGAGGTTGGGGTTTTTAATTTTATTGGTTTGTAAATATTATTGCCATCCTTGATAACCTTGAAGCCAGGAAGGAATTTAAGCTAATTGAACAAATTGTCATGGTCCAATCTCAATATCAGGAAAGAGGGAAAAGAAACTCAAGAGCTTTGGTTTGGCTGATACATTAAAGACTTCAGAGACACCCCACTGAACCAAGTAGAGCAATATGGTACATCAGAGCTACCAGTGTTTGACTTCGACGAATAGTAGCTGCTACCAATAGCTTCAGCATAAAAAGTAAACTTGGGGAAGGAGGATTTGGACCAGTATTTAAGGTAATTCATTTTTTTCTCTAATATTTTATGTGCACATATGACATGGACTTGTGTATGTATTGGTTGATTGTGAAATTTTATGGATGATGCGGAGGGAAATCTACAAGATGGACAGGAGATAACAGTGCAAAGACTTTCTAGATGCTCACGACAAGGCATCAAAGATTTCAAGAATGAGAGCATACTGATGATATCAATGCTCCAGCACTAGAATCTTGCTAGTCTCTTGGGGTGCTGTATTGAAGGAGAAGAATAACAAAAGTTTTGATACTTTTCTCTTCGGTTGGTTCAGTTTCTGCTTTTCAATACATGCCTTCTAATTCTTACCCATCTTGTTCATTAAAAGATCAATACTCTTCATTTCTCTTTATGAAGCAATATGTATCACCAGACGAAGATCACTGTTGATTTTTTTTTATTTATATTTTTTTCTCCTCTAATTTCACTGGTTGCTTGTGATTCTTAAATTTTAGAAAGATAAAACAGTAGTGCCTTGAGAGAAAATGGTTAAGCCTCTTGCCTGCCACTCATTTTCCTTGATCTCTGGAGAAATTGGTGATTTTAAACACGGTAACAAATAATAGCACTCATTTCAGTGTTCAGTATTTTATGGATCAAGCATTGGCTGGTTCATGTTCCTTGCCCCAGGTAATGAGATGCATACAAATTAGCCTTCTTTGTGTTCAGAATCATGTTATAGATAGGCTAACCATGTCAGCTGTAGTTTTCATGATCGGCAGATTTAGTATGTGTAGGAGAGGGTTCAAGAAAGGAGTTGAAAAATTCGAACTTAGAGCCATTTAGCCCGTTTGATGGCGATAAATCTGGGCCCACCGATTCTTGGACTTGCAATAAATTCGGGCCCACTAATCTTGGGCTATTGGGCCTAAATAATTTAGTGGGCTCAAATTAGCCCCTCTTACAGTATGCTACCGTGTATGGATGTAATTGGCTCGGGATGGTCGGTGTTTAGGTGAAATTTTACACCGAACAGATAATGTCGGTTTTATTATATTGAGAATCGATACAGGCCGAATTTTTTATTAAACCGTGCCAATTCAAACAGTTCGACTCGGTGTGATTTTCAGTTTAGGGCCTTTTAAATTTGAGTTACTTCTTAAATTTGTAGTATAGTAAATAATTTATATAAAAATATTGATCTTTTGTACATTACTTCAATATCCAATCCGGCCATTAACAAAAGTACAAACAAAAGAATTAATAAATATTAAGTTTTTAAGCTTTTACTAAAGTAAAAATTAGAAACAAAATATAATTTGAAAATCAAAATCTTAACACCAAAGCAAAACCAAATTTAAAACCATCATCCTATAAGACTAAATCACAAGTCTATCAAGAAGAGTTAAAATAACAAATTGAAAATGACATAAACATCTACTATAGCTATATAGGAATAGTAGTAACAAAACTTGTTTCAAACACATGAGTGACAAACTAACAATTTATCACATTGTCAATGTCTATTGTCAAACTTGAAATATTTAAGAAAAAATAAACAATTAAATGAATCAACTATTTGTATTCAACCAATTTCAATATATATTTAATATATATTATGCTTAATATGAGAAACTTTTGGTCTGTTTCGGTTTAATTTGGCACACAAGGTGCCCAAACTAGTCCTGAACCGAAACTCAAAAAAAAATAATTTTAAAGACCGCACAAACCGATTCATATTAAAAAAATTGACCACATATAAATTGTTTGGTTCAGTTCAACTGATTTGGTCAATTTATTCAATTTTTCTTATATCCCTACTAGGCTACTGCTGCAGTTGAGACATGATATATTTTAACTGTTATTTTACTATTTTAATGCAGTCGTCATGGTGCTGATAGTGTGGTTGCATCACCTGCAACAATGATAGTAAATTAATGTAGGATTATGCTACGTACCTCGAAATTTTCGATCTCGAATTTGGTCCGAAATTAAATCGACGTCGTTTCGTCGTTTTGGAACGGTAGTTTCGTTTTACGATAAGGATATTTAATGAAAATTATCTTACCGGTAAGAGAATTTTAATATATCTTACCGGTAAGAGAATCCAATACGACGTCGTTTTGAGTTTCGAGCCAATTCGAGCCGACTATTTTCAAGCTACCAAACATTTTCCATTAATGTAATAGAAAAATGTTTGAGGACCCGAAATCGTTTGGCTCGAATTTGCCCCGAATCCAAAATGATGTCGTTTTGGATTCTCTTTCCAGTGACATGTAATAAAATTCTCTTACCGGTAAGACATATTACAATTCTCTTACCGGTAAGATAATCCAAAACAACGTCGTTTTAGATTCTGGGCAAATTCGAGCTTGAAAATTTCGGACCCTATACCAGCGTTGAATGTAATATTAGACTATCATAAATTATGTTCTTAAGTCCTCATTCAAACTATTCCCATCAGTCCCTTAGGTGATATGGACATTTGGAGTGGAAGTCCTTTTTGTCTAGCTCTAAATTTATGTTTCAGGTTTACTTCTTAAAGCCGAGCCAGCGTGGTTAAGAATATAATACAAATAATAAAATTATCTCTCTCTAAAAATGTTCAAACTTTTAGATAATTTGGTGATTAATAATTCAATAAGCTATTAAAGTAAACAATAGATTCAGTGTTCGACCCTCATAGCTTGCTCAACCATATATAATATAAATAATAAAGTCACTTCTTAAACTTGAAAATGAGTCAACAATTCAATAGGATCTTTTATTTTTTTTTAATTTTTTTTGACTAACATGAACTATATATCATTAAACATAGAACTTACGTACATCAATCACCAGCTCATGAGCCGGTTATTATATTCCTTCCCACTTTCTCAATAGAAAGAAAGTCAAAAAGCTTACTATAATACATAAATATCACTAATAGTAGTCTCAAACTGCCAATAACTAATTCTTGCAGAATTTTGCGGCAACCGTACTAAAACTTGGCAGTCAATTTTTACTGTAATACAGTGTATTCCATATCTTGCAGCCCAGCGAATGGCTTTCAATGCCATCAATGGATTTTTTTTTTTTTTTTTTTTTTTTGATCGGAGAAAAAAGGGGATCTGAGGTGTCATCACGCCCCCTGTGGGCCCTAACCCGGGGTAATCGGTTGCCAGCTAGGAATTAACCGCCACCATGTGGGAGACCCACCACCAGGGTACTGTGTGGAGCTCACCTACGCGCCGCAGGCCGCCGAGGGTTCGAACCGGAGTACAGAGGGGGGTCTCCAAAGAGAACACTTTCACACTCCCCTCAGAATTCGACCCTAGGTCAACCTGAAGAGACCAGGTGCTTTCTCCACCAGGCTTGATAGGGGATATACCGCAACAGCAATTTGCATGATCTTGTGATTATTTCCATGCAAGCAAAGCCAAGCTATCCCTGCTATGGTATTTGAAGACTTCCAAGATCCATCAATAATGATCGTCCATGAATCTGGAGCATCGCTGATATCGTCTGTTTTTTTTGGTATCGAATTCTAATATTTGCCAAATATTTGATTTCTCTTAAATTGTCATCTCAATTTAAGAAAATATTTATGTTTAAAAAAATAATTATTTATTTATTTTTAAATAATATAATTCAAACATATAATTATTAATATAAACAATTCAAACGGTTATGCTACAGACCCCCACTGGGATCGGAGAAAAAAAGGGGATCTGAGGTGTCATTACGCCCCCTGTAGACCCTAACTCTTGTGATTATTTCCATGCAAGCAAAGCCAAGCTATCCCTGCTATGGTATTTGAAGACTTCCAAGATCCATCAATAATGATCGTCCATGAACCTGGAGCATCGCTGATATCGTCTTTTTTTTTTTTGGTATCGAATTTAAGTATATGCCAAATATTTGATTTCTCTTAAATTGTCATCTCAATTTAAGAAAATATTTATATTTAAAAAAATAATTATTTATTTATTTTTAAATAATATAATTCAAACATATAATTATTAATATAAACAATTCAAATTATTAAAATCAACTCTCAAATCATGAGAAAAACCTTTTTGGCAACTATCACAAAAACCAATGGTAATAATGCAATTCAGTGATATTAGTAGTAGCATATGCAGTTGTGCACCAACCCAAATTATTGTTGGCACCCATTGATTGTTTTAGACATCTGATCCCAAGAGAGAGATGTCCACATCTACATCAATATTAGATGTGTACACTATTGTCATTGACTTCAAATACCTTAAAGCTATGACTTCCATCACATTACCAATAACGTTTTTCAACCATTGCAGGCCTACTTTGTGCTACCACATGATTCATTGGTAATTATTGAAATATTTTCTATATAGTATTTCAAATCAATTATTTAGTATAAAATTTTATGAGATAGACTATAGTTACTCACTTTATTGAGAAATTTATTTTTTATTTTTTATAATTCAAGGTATCTCTATAGCTTAATTTAGATTTGAGTTACATAGAATTTGAATGAATAATTAATTTCTAATGACCTTCAAATTAATGACGGGACCAACTTTTTATAGTTTCCTAAGAAATTCAAACTTGAACTCTTGAATGTTATCCTTAAATAATTAAAAAACAAAAAATGGTCTCATTAGTATATACTTAATGTTTATTATAATTCTTTATTAAGGCCCGTTTGAGAATTGATATTTTTAATAATTTTTAACTTCTTTATAAAAATAAAAAATAAAAGTGTAATCCATACTAAACATCGTCTAAACTACCACCATATAAGTAATGCGTACTAAAATTTTCCATGATCCATTAGAGAATAACCATGCCATTACTACATTCCAAAATTCTGGAGAGAAAAAGCTTCGTTTGGCATTGGTTATTGTAGTCAATTTTTTTGTGTTGTAATTTTTTTAACCTGACTTTTTTAGTCTCGTTTGGTTTTTGTTTTTAGACTTTTTTGACTTTTGTGAGAAAAAAAAGTGTAATAATTATGGTTTTGATGTGACATTTTGTCTTATTAACTTATATAGCCTATTTTGTCTTTTTGTACTATTATAGCCCTAAAATGAAAACCAAACGAGGACTTAGAACCCTAGTTTGGTTTTTGGCTTAGGTTTCTTTCCAGTCCCAAATCAGACTAGAAGGTGTTGTTGGGCCTGTGTAGATCCACTACAGAGTCTGCATTTATGATCCGAACCATTCAATGTGTAGAGCTCGTCAAGTACTTCATTCTTGCACAACATTAGGTTGATCAGATATTAATAGATACTTGATTTGTTCAAATTTGTGTTAACGGTAAGTATGATTTTTGAAATAAATTGTTGACAAAAATGTGATCTGATCAAGTATTATTGATATTCGATCAAAGTGATTTTTTACATGAATGAAATACTCATTAAGCCCTACACATTAACCAATTTTAGATTATCCAGACAGACTTAGAATGGGCCGAACTGGACCATACCAACTCCAGAGAATCCAATCCCTTATTTTT